AAAGTATGCTTTGATTTTAATTGGTAAAAACCTTGGTTTTTATATTATGATTATTTGTGTTTTGTGTGTGTGTGTGTGTGTGTGTGTGTGTGTATGTGAAAATTGTCAGTGAAAGGTGAAACCAACATGCATGAAAAAGATAGATGTACGACATACACCGGAGGAGCAACAGTGCAATGTGACTGGGGAGGACCAAGTCATCATGAAAGAAAAAGAGAGATGAAGATGCATTGAGAAAATGAGTGATAAAAAAACAAAAAGGCAGAAAAGACATGGATATAAAGGAGAGCTAGTTGGACAAAGACTTTCATTAGTCCAACAATTTTTTTTTTACTGATGCAAAATGAATCCCAGAGAGATGGGACCCACAGCAGGCAATCTTTGAGCCTTGTTATTTCTAAGTGCACACAAAATCTAAGACCCACTAAATACAACGTAGGTGTCAGCATGCCACGCTTAGCAGTGTGCCGGACACTGAAGGAGACAAAAGAAGAAATCCAATAGACGTCCTGATCTCTATGAACTTATTATGACTGAACTCTCAGCTCATTTCATCATTTTTAAAAATCATGCACTCTCTGGGAATTTAAAACAGATGTTTCTGCTGCAGCAAATGGGTTCTATGCAGTTTATTTAAAATTGTGCATGAATTCTTGGTTTTCTTTTCATCCTCCTCTTCATCTTTTTCTTTTGTGACAGGGTCTCATGCAGCCCAGGCTAGTGTCAAGCTTGCTATGTAGCTGAGGATGATTATGAACACCTAATCCTCTTTCCTTCATCTCCTGAGTGCTAAGATTAACAGAGTACCAACATGTTTGGACTATTCCCTTTAATTTTAGAGCATAAATATTTTATAAAGGTATTTATATACAACTTTCATTTTTTTACCTTTAAGAAGTTCAGGTGTGATTAGCACTCACAAAAGGAAATCTTTTTGGTGAGTGGTATTAATCCGACTCCATTATCTGGAATATTTGAAAATATTTCTTAAGCACTTTTGTTTGTACTGTTATTGCTTGTTTCACTTTTTTAAATTTAATGATATTTCCATTCAGTTGTATCTTAGTGGAAACAAATAATCAAAATAAAACTGCATTTTCCATTCTCATTTCTCAGAAAACTGTTATGTCACAATGTGCTTTATTGAAAATATAATGTAAAATGTGTTTTCCATTAGAAATACACTGATTTGTTAACAAAATCAAAACTGTCAAAAATTAGATTCCATAAACCTAAAAGCTTCTTTACCACAGGACTCAATAGAATAAAGTGAAAACTTGAAGAATACACAGAATGTGAGAAAATGCATGTGGAAAATCAATCTGAGAAGAATCTAGAATATATAAGGAACTATAGAACCTCAATAGCAAAAAAAGAAAGGAAGAGAGGAAGGGAGAGAGGGAGGGAGAAAGGAAGAGAGGGAGGGAGAAAGGGAAGGAGGGAGAAGGATAGAAGAAAGGATAAAAGGAACGAAAAAAGTCCCAAATTCCACACAAGTAGTAAATAGATCTAAATAGAAAACTTTCAAAAGCTGACACATGGCCAATGGGGACAGGAAAAAATGATAATATAAATCGTTATGGAAATTCAAATCAAAGCTGTAATGATATATCATTTTGCCAGAAGAATAATGGCTAGTACCACAAAGATAAAAGGTAAGAAATGAGCCGGGCGGTGGTGGCGCACGCCTTTAATCCCAGCACTTGGGAGGCAGAGGCAGGCGGATCTGTGTGAGTTTGAGACCAGCCTGGTCTACAAGAGCTAGTTCCAGGACAGGCTCCAAAACCACAGAGAAACCCTGTCTCGAAAAACCAAAAAAAAAAAAAAGGTAAGAAATGCTGGTGACTATGAGGAATGCTGGTGACTATGAGGAGAAAGGGGAATTCTTGTACACTGTTAGTGAGAATTTAAATTAGTATACACATTGTACCTCATGATCCTGGAATCTCACTGCTGGGTATATATTCCTAGGAAATTAAATCAGAATATCTAAAAGATATGATTACTCCAGTACAGTCTGCAATAGCCAAGAAGTAGAATCAAATGAGGTCTACCAGCTAATGAATTGCTCGAGAAATAACGGTACACATACTCTGTTGCTTTATGTTTATCTCATGTTGAAACAGGCTAGAGTCATTTGGGAAGACAGAACCTCAATTGAGAAAATGACACCCCCCCCCCTTTAGGCAAACCTGTGGATATTTTCTTCATTAGTGATTGATGTAGCAGGGCCCAGTATATTGTGGGTGGAGCCACCCCTGTAAAAATAGTCCTGGGATGTATAAGAAAACAGGCTGAGCAAACTAAGTTAAGCAAACCAGTAAGCAGCACCCCTCCATGACTTCTGTGGCAGTTCCTGCCTCCAAGTTCTTTCCCTGGGTTTCTGCCCTAACTTCCTTCAGTGAAGAACTGTTACCTGGAAGTGTTAAGATAAATAAAATTTTTCCTTCCTAAGTTGCTTTTGGTCATGGTGTGTAATCACAGCAATATAAGCCCAAGACATCCATAATGAAATACTACTCAAGGAACACAAAAGATGACATATTGTCACTTGGGACAATGTGGATACAACTGGAGTTCATTATGTTGAGCAAAATACGCCAAGAACAAAAAAAAGCAAGCACCGTATAATTGCATCCATATGTGAAAGATAAAAAACAAAACTGATCTGATAAAAGTTGAGGGCCAAATGGTGGATACTCAAGGCTGGGTACGGTAGGGGAGAAGGAAGAATGGAGGAAGGCAGGTCAACAGATAAGGAGTCACAGTTAGATAGCAGTGAGAAGTGTCTTTGCGTTATTACAAAGTAGAATAGCCACAATGATAATGCAATGTCCATTTTCTTAACGCTAAAAGGAAGTTTTTCTGAACGTTCTCACCATAAAACAAAGCTAGATACATGAGGAGAGCATTGTAATAACTCTGATTTGCACATCGTGCAACACATTTTTAACTTCTATCTTGTTACAACGTGTGCATAACCTGTGTGTGTACACATGCGTGCCTGTACATGCCATGGTGCGTGTGTGGAGATCCAAGGACAACTTTTTGGAGTCAATTCTTTCCTTCCACTGTAGATTCTGGCAATCGACCTCAGGTGGTCAGGATTTCATGGCAGGTTTTTACCTGCTGAGCCAGCTCGCCCACCACACCATACAGGTGCAATATAAATGCATGAATGAAAGCAGCACATCACTGCTCGTATGTACAATTATTGTGTGCCTATTAAAGATTAATGTTTAAAAACATAAAAATATAATGTGAACTATACTTTAAATACAGAGCTACATTAAAAGTTCCACAAAACGGAAATCTGTTTAGTAATATATTTCCTTTAGACCAGTGGTTCTTCACCTTCCTAATGCTGTGGCCCTTTAATACAATTATGCATATTGTAGTGATCCCAACCTGCTGTAAATGTAGCTATCATGAGGAACAATGAGTACCTGTGGTGCTCTTCCCCCAAACAGTGCACATCCATCCATTCAAAAGCTTTCCGTTATGTTGGGGGGGGGAGGGTGTTTGTGCACAGTGCAGCTACGCATGGAGGTCAGAAAAGGCATTGGATCCCTGATGGAGGAAGGTTATTGGCTAATAAAGGAACTGCCTCGGCCCATTTTATTGGTTAGAAGATAGGTGGGAGGAGTAAACAGAACAGAACGCTGGGAGGAAGAGGAAGTGAGCTCAGACTCCACAGCTCTTCTCTCGGGAGCAGATGCCTGAGAGAGACGCCATGCCCCACTCCCAGGCAGACGCACGCGATGAAGCAAGCCGCCAGGTTAGACATGCTGAACCTTTCCCGGTTACACCGGTGCTCACAGATTATTAGAGATGGGTTGATTGGGCTGTGAGAATTAGCCTGTAAGGGCTAGAGCTAAAGGGCCAAGCAGTGTTTAAATGAATACAGTTTGTGTGTTGTTATTTTGGGTAAAGCTAGCCAGGCTGCCGGGGTGCTGGGGATGCAGCCCCACCGCCCCTTACTACTACAGATCCCTTTGAGCTGCAACCACGAGTGAATGTGAGACACCTGCCATGGACGCTGTTCTCTGTGTACCCACTCTATCACAGAATCATCTCTGCAGAGTTTCCCCTCCCTTGATCTTAACCAAACACATAAGAATTGAATCAAAAGCCAACTTTTCTGTGTTCCTACAGTATATAGTATTGTCTTTTTGAAATTTGTCTTTTGTGTTTTTTTTTTCTCTTCTTAGACAGGAAAAAAGTTAGTTGAAATTTACATAAGGACTTGAGAAGGTACATCTCCCATTAAACATTATTACATTCCCCAGGGCCTCATATTTAGATCAACACTAAGGCACAATGTAAATATATATGCATTTAAGTTGCAGAATAGATGACCCCTACCTCAATCCCTAGTGAATGGTTATGATTAAAAACTCGTTCATGTTTCTAGTTGATATTAGGATCATCTAAGGAATTTTTATAAGATTATTATTCCTGGAGTGTGATTCAAACATCTGGCAAGGTGGACCTGAAAATCTGTGTCTTTAACAAATACAGTAGGGAATATGGCAAACCTGGTCTCATTTAAGGCCTGTTGATTTATTTTGTCAGTGCTCAGATAGTCAACCATGCCCAACCTGGACTTTCTCATACTCATTCTGCTCATGCTCAGTTTGATTAAGAAACAGGATCTAATCCATATGTGCATTTGGATGAAAAGGGACAACATATCAAGAGCTTTCAGATAAGCTAGATTTTCTTCTGACTCTACTGCTTTTCTAGATAAAGCATGTGACTGTGCACATGCTATAGCAATCAAAATATCCCTGCAAAGATCAATGATAGTGAAAGTTCAATGCTAATGATGTGTTCAGCCACCAAGCAACCTACCAGCAGGAAAAGCTCATATTGAGAATACAAAACACAAGTGCAATGCAGAAAACAGGAGGCATGAATTGGTGCAATCATTGAGATGTTCGCGAATTTTAATGTACATGCTGGCCTTCCTGTTGGTATTTCAAATAAGAATCACTTACCCTTGACCAATTTTTTCAAATCTTGTATACTTTTTCTTTGGGTCCCCAACACTCACAATGCTTCCTGAGGAGGGTGGGGAGGGAGAGAGAAAGATTGAAACTGATTGATTTGCTTTTAACAATAAAATTGGAGGCATCAAAGTCAATAACTTTCACAGTTCATATGGAATATGTACTTAATTTGTTTAAAATACACTAAAATATATTAGTTAAAGTAGTGATAATAATCTGTACTGCTTATACTAAATACTGTTCATATCTGGGAAATAAAAATAAACTGAACACAATCCAGCATTCACAAATTTTTCTCATAAAATAGATATTATAGATTAGGAGATTATACCTAAAATTCATACCCATTATTTATTCAAACAGTTTTCTGAATTAGAATAAAGACAATAATTCCACTATATTCAGTTCTGTAAGAAGAATACCTATACTGAGTATTTACTGTTCCCTAGTTCCATGTTAAGGGGATGATATACAGGGGTGGGTCTAACAAGTATATATATAATCTTAGGAGTCTACCAGTGCTCTAAACCTTTGACCAGAATTAGTGGTATATGATTAATCATCATAAAGTATACAGTTCATCGTTTTTCTGTGTAGCTCATACATATATCTGTATTCATGCATGTGCGTTCTTGGACATGTGTGTTTGTGTGTGTGTGTGTGTGTGTGTGAGAGAGAGAGAGAGAGAGAGAGAGAAAGAGAGAGAGAGAGAGAGAGAGAGAGAGAGAGAGAGAACAGGAGAATTCTGGGAAGAGGACACAGTCCGGGCCCAGCCAGAGAAGAAGCAAGATGTGACTGCCTCCCCTGAATAAGATACCGAGCCATGTGGCTAACATAGACAAGAATAATGGGCTAATATAACTTATAAGAGTTAATAAGAAGCCTGAGCTAATGGGCCAATCAGTTTATAACTAATGTAGATCTCTGTGTGACTTCTTTGGGACTTAACAATTGAGGGAACTAGGCTGGTCAGAAATTAAGTGAAGGTCATACAGGAAGGCACCTAATGTGAATCTGTGGGCTCCATTCTGACATATGGATTCTTTATGAACTTGGAGCACACTGATTTGGCAAGACTGGCAGGCAACCTCTCCATTTCTGCCTCCCTCTTGCTAGGGTTACATGTGTGACCACCCATATATTTAGGTGTGTACTGGAGATCTGAACTCAGGTGTGACAACTGCTTCGGTAAGAGAGTAATCGCTTTCACCACTCAATGCTTTTCAGAAATGTTTTTCAGAGTTGTGTGACCCTCACTATAATAGAACTATTTTTTAATTAATCATTTTCGTGGCTAGGGTGACAGCTCAGTATTTATAGCACATGCAAGTATAAGGACCAGAGTCATAGCCCCAATAACATACAGAAAATGTCAGTTGGGCATCGGGATCCAACTGTAATCCAGGTGCTTAGAAGACAGAGATGGGACCCTGAAGGAAGGGGTTAGCAAGAATACCTGTTTCAAAGAGCTTGGGCTTAATTGACTTAATCGAGAGACCATGCCTTGGTGACTAAGGTAAAGAGTGACCAAGTAAAACTCACAATGTCAATCTAGAGCCGCCATATGCACCTGCACATATGTGCACCTGCACAGGCATGTGTTCATACTTGTGTGAGCCCACATATGCAGGCACAACGCATAGACATGCAAAGAATAGCAAAAATTAAACATTCCACAAAGAAACATTGTGCATATTACCGGTTACTTTCTTGTTGTTTGAAAGCAGAGTTGGAGTGTAATGTGTCTATTTTAAGACAAGCTAACACATGGAGGTTCGTAACAAAGGAGGGGTGCTTCTTGGAAACAAATGTTGGCTTCTCTAAGGCATGGCATAGTTCATTGTCTTTATGATGGTGGTGCGTGAGGTTTCAATGGGATTTTGAAGCTATTGTCTTCCCTGGGTTCCTAAGAAAGCTAAATGAGAGGTACCTGACAGGACAGCAGTCGATAAGATGACGCTCTAAATGGCAGAGCTGCAGGAAGGTATGAGCAGTCACTCTTAACCATGCCTAGCTAAGCCTGCAAAAGTTCCTCCTCACTGCAGGACCAAGTCCAGATTCCTTAGTTGAATACAGTAGGCCATTTATCATCCAGCCCCATCTGGTTTTTACCTAACCAAGCTAAGTAGCAATTATTCTTCTGCTGTCTTTTCCCTTCCTGCTTTAGATCTTAGGAGAAGTCTCACCATCCAGGGGATTTGCTCCTTGCATGTGCCTCTCTAGTCTCCTTTCTAAGTTATGACGTGCTAATTCTCACCCAAATGCAACCTCACAACAGCTTCCTTTCCGAAGTCTTCTATGGTTACTTTAATGAGACTGACAGACTTTCGTTTTTCTGGACAGAGTTTCTCTGTGTAGCCTTGGCTCTTCTGAAACTTGCTTTGTAGACCAGGTTGGCCTCGAAATTAGAAAGATCTACCTACCTCCGACTCCTGAGTGCTGAGATTAAAGGCTTGTGCAACCACTGCCTGGCGAAACTGACATACTTTTATTTGAAGCCAGGAAATCTGTGTTTTCGTCCCTTTAATGTCGGTTCCCAGGGCAATGGTTGTCAGTGAACAAGTAAGTGAATGAAAATAAAATAATACATATTCAAATAGAGTACAATATATTATAGATAATACCTCACACTAATTTAGGTGACTGTCTCCTGGCCTAGTGGACACTATAATTAAAACCTAATAATTGACAGTAGACATTCAGAAAAAAAACAATCTGATGAATGTTTCAGTTATGAATTACATATCAGGTATGGGCTTTACCATTGATGGGATTTATTTGGTTAAAGAAGGATAACCTTGAACTTCTGATCCTCCTGGACACTGGGATGACAGGTGCGCACCACTGGACCCTGCTAGTATGATATTGGGGCTAGAACCCACAGCTTCTGGTAATGACAGTTAAGCATTCTACTAATCGAGCCATACTCCTGACTGCTGGGTTTTGGTCTTTAATTTTTGTCTCTTTTTTTTGACAGTTTCATACTGGTTGTGTTTTATCCTTCCCCCCTTTCTCTCTTCTTTTGCTTTGTATTGGTAATGGATATTCCTGTTTCAGTTGGGTTAGTAAGACAGATGTTGTGAGAGTTTTACAATCCATTTGCTCAGGCAGTGATGCTGTCAATATGTTCTCTTTGTCGTCTGGTGAGAAGTCTAAGTCATATCTTGCATTCACTACTTATACATGGTGTTTACTTAGTCCTAGGCCTGTATCTGTTTTTTTCCTTGACTCCACTTTCAATTCGCTCCTTCCTTAATTCTGCTGCTACTGTTGGACTCTCCTCATCTCCTGATCCAATGGTCTCCTAACCGGACTTTCTTTTATGTTCTATCATGTCCATCCAGACTCTGCACATCTCTCAGGATACTTTAAGTACAGACCTGGTGGTCAGATGAGTCTCTGCTGTTGATATCAGAGATACCTGATACTTATAGTGAAGGCCCAATGTCCTTGTCATGGAATGTCATGGAATGCAATGATCATCATGATCTGTTCATTGCATCCTTTACAACCAGGATCTTATGCTCCAACAATAAAAAATAAAGCATAATTCCTCATCAGCCCCTGCTTAGCCATAACACTTGAGTGGCCTCTTTTATACATCCAGGAAAAACCTTTCTGAGTAACTCCAGGAAGCCAGAGGAGGGCACTGGATCTCCCTGCTTTAAAAGTTATCCTGGAATGTCACTTCTAGGAAGCCTCCATGGTCACTTTGAATAAAGTTAATAACTTCCCTTTCCTCTCTCTAGCACACTCTGTCACTGTTCTCAATGTGTCATCTGCCACTTTGGCATCACATTTTAGGCTGTTCTAATGACAGGAGCCTAGTCTGATTCAATTGTATATCCCACGTGTCTCCTTATACAGCATAGCAGCAAGTGTTTATAGAATTAAACACAAGTGAAACCAGGCATTTCTTGAAAAAAAGAGAAAAGTCCATGGTTCAAGAAACGTTGAAGAATATATTTTATTTTATTTGAGTTATGTCTCTAAAATGCCACCAACTTAGTGATATGCGAGTTGCTATTTTATTTTTCAAATTGTCTAATGAATTTCCACATCACTGAATCCATCTTTTTGCAATCAGTTTTAATGGCTGAGTGCCTGGATCTGTTTTCTTCTTTTGATGAAATTATGATTTTAAAGTCACTTGAAACCAGAGTCTTATGAAATGGTTTATACTTTTCTAAGAAAGTTTTGCTATGAAGTTGCTGAGCAAACTCTTTTCCATAGGCTGATCAAAAAGCAAATAAGCTTTAGCTCAAACCGCTTTCTGAATTGCAACCAATTCCAATTGGCAGGGTTCACTTAATGAGGCTTTATGGTAGTAAATTATTCAACCATTATTTCCACGGTATGTGGTGTTAAAAAAAACCCTGGAAATGAATCTTTTCATAAGGATTACTAGGAGACAACCATTTTGATGAGACTGCTTCAGAATTTAACTGCTGTCCAATTAAAATGGCGTCCCCAGACCCATCTACTCTTCACTAGGGAGTGTGTGCTGCCATCTACTGGTAGGCAAGCATACATGCAAGATGCTTTCTTTACAACTCCAGTCACGAAACAAGCTTTGCCAAGTGAATGCTCTCCTTAGGTCTGTTACAACAAAGAAATTTGATAAATTAAAACAAAGACAAGGACACTACGGGGACACAATTGAGCAAAGAATAGATCAATGAATAAAATCAAGTGGAGAAAAACGTGATTGAAATATCAGAGCAATTTCTTACTAATTAAGAAACAAACCACTCATCTGTGGTTGGTATATAAAATAAATTTTAAAAAGATTAAAAAATAAAAATGATAAAAAATCACTAAATTCTAGCATTTGAAGATGGGATTCATGTTTGTAGTTTCAAAAGAAAAAAAGGCCATCAATTTATTTTCTGTCATATACTAAACTGGATTTCTTTCAGTAAGAGGTTATCCCTTGAGCATGAAGGAGGGTTTTGTTTGTTTTGTGTTTTTGTTCTTGAGAAAGAGCTTAATAATCCTCTAAATTAATTATGATTGTCTCTGGTGGTGACTTAGGAAAAAGAATTTGGAGCATAGACTGCTAGGGAAGGAAGGGAAGTGGTTGTGGGATTTGGGGTGGGGAGGTTAAAGAGAAATGTCCTGTACTGTACAATTGTGTTGGCTGTCGGTGCCTTCTGAAAATGTTCACTAGAGTGCAAGGGTTTCTTTATTTTCCAGCAGACCCAGACAGACCACAATGAGCAAGCCAGACCTAAGCTATCTATCTGTGTAAAACTGAAAGATGATCTGTCCATTTTATTAATGACTCCTTGGTCTGACCTCTACCATCAGTATCTGAATGGAAGATGAATTGCCTGGTAGCTCTGTGGTTTGGCTTGCACAGTTCCTCGCAATCACATTCTTGAGGTTGAAGATGAGGATGATTAAGTAGAAGCTGTTATTTCTTTCTCGTTCTTGAAGAGTTCACTCTGGCGTAGGTGGCAGGTCATCCCTATACTTCTCTGCCTCTTTCCCCCTTTCTTTTGTCTCTCAGTAGTCTCCTCTATTCCTTCCTGGAGATTCATTTGCTTGCACCTCTGATTCCAAGAACCCCAATGACTTCTGTACTGGTATCACACTGATGAGATTGTTCTGAGTTATAAGCATCATAGTGGAAGGTCATTCCCACTCTCTAATGATTACACAGTAAAACTAATTATCATGCTGGATATCTTACATAAATGAATGTATTTCTTTGGTCCTCAAAAAATTCTCTCATTCTATTGGGACTATTACTATTACTGGAAATTCAGAAGAACTGCAGACTTCCCAAGGGATACAGGATTTGTACATGTGACTCTGACATCATTATGATCATTTCAAAGATTGTCCAGTTGTACGATCACATTGAAGGTTTGTACACTTGATAACAGAGTGAGCATTTGTTGATGCCCCTACTATGAGACAGATACATTTGCTGAGGTTTTCATTGGCACAATACTATGAAGCTGGTATTATTATTATGATCCCAACTTTTTAGATGAAGAAATAGAGGACCAGCAAAATTAAATAACTGGCTGAAATAAAAATAGCTAGCCTCAGTCAGTCTGTGATTTGAATCAAGGCCTTTCTGACTCAACACCTGTCCTCTAATAATTCATGCTACAGAGAAACCTTTAAAATGCACCTATGATTCTTATGCCCATTTCATAGGTAAGAAACTGAGACCAGGCAGGGTTAAATGACTTGTTTCTGGTTGCTAGTGCGCAAAGGAATTGAGGAGGTACTGAGAGGGTGTTATAGGGGCTAGAGGGTCTGCATTTCCATTTCTCTGTAGGTTTTCCTTGGCAAGAGGAAAGCTGGCAGACACGGGTAACCTGCTGGTTAGGAGGAAAACGATTGTCTCTGGGCTCCCATAAAGAAGTATAAAGTCCAACGGAGAGAAGCACTCACTTAATTCTTTTTTTTTTACAGTTATTTTCACTAAAACTTAATTCTCATTAAACAGTTCAGGCAGCTTTTTCCCCCCTTTGTCCTATTGCTCCTCAATGCGGAACAAAGTAAACAAGATAGAAATGACCCAGACCTAGAACTATCACATTCTGTAAGCAAAACTGGAGCTCAGAAAGGTAGTGCCCATTTTTCAGCTGACTTATGAAATGTTTAAGTCCATGGTCACAACAACGAATGTACTGAGGCACCAAAGAGACACTAGAGAACAGCCATTTTTACTAATGCATGATGCCGTATTTTGAAAGTCTAATATAATCATGCCATATGTACAAAACAAAGGAAGACACTGTAGTGAGTATCTGAATCTCTGAAGTTCATTTTCCTGGTGGTTATCTCTCCCTTCTATTTTATACACGAGTAGTTTGGTTACACAAAACCAAAGTGGCTAATGGCAGAAGTGCAAATTTTAAAGGCATACAGATGTGAGGTCAGGCTCAGGCTCTACCACTCATTATTCTGGTGACTTGATCACTTAAGCTTTTTAAGGTTTTTGTTCAGTGTTCTGTAAAATGAAGACATTAACATCCACCATAAATGACGTTAGAGAAAATGACCCTCGATAATGTATGGAAAGTGGCCACTCTCAAAGTGCTCCTTATGTAAGAATTATTATAGGAAATAGTGGACACTGGCATTAGAAGCATATTTAATCAGGTATAGCAAATCAGTTTGCTAAATTGTAGAAATTCCAGTTCTGAGTGCTTACTGGTAGCTGTAACTTTAACCTTGGCCTTGCAAAACATCTCTACTTCAAATGACAATAGTGCTGCATATGAAATATTTTGAATGCAATAGACACAAAGTAATTATTCTGTCCACATGACAACTTGGCTGTGAAAGGGGATGGGAGGGGGTGTTGTGGACATCATATAATCTCTGCATGCATACCTAGCTTCTATCATCTAGAGGACAGCACTGTCTGATGCTTTGACAGTGACCGACTTAATGGGAAAACTAAAAACTATCTTCAAATATCTCCAACAAAATGTGGCAAAATGTCCCTATGGCCACATCTACAGTGCCTCCCTGTGGCCAAGAAATGAATTTTTCTCTTTACTCTGTCAGCTGTGAAAAGTGATAACCCCTTTATTCTTGTTTCATCATACTACCAAGTCTTATACAAAGAAAATATATAAGACACTAGTAGGAGTCAAACTTGGAGCAATGACTACTAATGTCTAGCCATTCTGTATGAATTTAATAAATATGGTCCGTAGAACCTTGACACTTTTCAGGGGAGAATTTCTTTCATGACCTTGAGTCTTGAATGTTTTGTCAAACTGGGGCACTAAGTGTGTGAGCAAAATCATGTGTGCACTAAGGAAGCGATGGCTGCCATTGGTTGGTCCCTCCTTCCTCCCCACAGATAATGGGATGCTACTTTAATTGCAAGTTTTCATGAACTTTTTTGGACTTTGAGGTTTTTTATTTTTTGTTTTTTAAAGTGTCCTTCAGATATGGTCTTTCTTGTATGGTCCTAAAATATTTTAATCAGAGTACCTTAATTTCTTTTTGGAAGTGCAATCTTAAAACTTACTAGCTTAATATATTTTGTCAAGTTTACATCTTCATTGAGCATTTCACATGAAAATGCTTAGTTTCTCTCTGACTAATCGTACGGGGGAGAAACTAACCTGACGGATATACACAGTAAGTCCTAAACATTGTATTTTATGGCGTAAAGGATCCTAGAGTCTGGCAAGCAGATTCAGCTATCTGAAGGATCAATTCTCCTTCTACTCACCGAATAAGAAGTATTTTCCTGGAAAGATACTCACTTAGCTTCTCTAGGATCTCCTCGTCTGTCATCTTCGATTTTTTCCTTTGCCGATCTGTATTCCTGTACAAAGTACTGGAATTGGCATTCTCAGCAGAAGGCAGGGTGACTTCTTTATTTTGAACTGCTGGTGAAGCAATGGATTCAACCACAGAAAGAGTATAGATCTGAAAGACAAACGCACCCACCCCCAATTCCACAGTTAATACAATAGGTAAAGAAACGTGTGGTAGGAAGAAGGCACTGTCTGCTCACTGGTGTTAAGAGTATCAAGGAGTGTCACATACTCTAAAAGCTCCGACGTCCCTATCCATGACCTTGCTGCCTTCCCTTAGTAATTCTTCCTATCTGGTTCATATGAATTTCTTTCCTTAATTCCACCTCTGCCATTTTATAAGTTTGTAGTTATGTGGCTTTTTGATTAGCAAATCATGGAATGTGATAATCTTTTACCTTCAAATTGTTACCTACCCCCAACTGGGCTCCTTTAGTGTTGCTTTTGGATTGTGCAATATACACATATAAAACAACAATAATTATAGAAGAAAAGGTTATGAATTTGAGAGGTGGAGAATTCATGGGAGGAGTTGGAGGTGCAAGAAAGCAGCATAGAAATGACGGAAATTTAAGGTCATGCTCAACCTCCTTAGCGATCAGGGAAATGCAAATCAAAACAACTTTGAGATATCATCTTACACTTGTCAGATTGGCTAAAATCAAAAACACCAATGATAGCCTCTGCTGGAGAGGTTGTGGAGGAAGGGGTTCCCTCATCCAGTGCTGGTGGGAATGCAAACTTGTGCAACCACTTTGGAAAGCAGTGTTTCATTTCTCAGGAAATTCGGGATCAACCTACCCCTGGACCCAGCAATACCACTCTTGGGAATATACCCAAGAGATGCCCGATCATATGACAAGGGTATATGTTCAGCTATGTTCATAGCAGCATTATTTGTAATAGCCAGAACCTGGAAACAACCTAGATGCCCTTCAATGGAAGAATGGATGAAGAAAGTGTGGAATATATACACATTAGAGTACTACTCAGCGGTAAAAAACAGTGACTTCTCAAATGTTGCATGCAAATGGATGGAAATAGAAAATACTATCTTGAGTGAGGTAACCCAGACCCAAAAAGATGAACATGGGATGTACTCACTCATAATTGGTTTCTAGCCATAAATAAAGGTCAGTGAGTCTATAATTTGATATCCTAAAGAAGCTAAATAAGAAGGTGAACCCAAAGAAAAACATATAGCTATCCTCCTGGGTAGGGGAAGTAGACAAGATTGCCAGGCAAAAAATCGGGATCTTAAGGGTGGGTGGGAGGGGGGTAAGGGGAGATGGGGAGAGAAAAGTGAGAAGGGTAGGATGGGGAGAACTTGGGGCAACGGGATGATTGGGATAAAGGAAGGTTGGATAGGGGAGCAGGGAAGCACATATCTTAATTAAGGGAGCCATCTTAGGGTTGGGAAGAGACTTGGACCTAGAGGGGCTTCCAGGTGCCCAAGGCGAGGTCCCCAGTTAGTTCCTGGGGCAGCTGAAGATAGGGAACCTGAAATGATCCTATCCTATAGCCATACTGATGAATATTTTGCATATCACCATAGAACTTTCATCTGGCGATGGATGGAGATAGAGACAGAGACCCACACTGGAGCACTGGACTGAGCTCCCAAAGTCCCAATGAGGAACAGAAGGAAGGAGAAGATGAGCAAGGAAGTGAGGACCAAGAGGGGTGCACCCACCGACGGAGACAGTGGGGCTGATCTATTGGGAGCTCACCAAGACCAGCTGGACTATGACTGAAAAAGCATGGGATAAAACCGGACTCTCTGAATATGGCGAACAATGAGGGCTGCTGAGAAGCCAAGGACAATGGCACTGGGTTTTGATCCTACTTCATGTTTTGGCTTTGTGGGAGCCTAGCCAGTTTGGATGTTCACCTTCCTAGACCAGGACGGAGGGGGGAGGACTTTGGACTTTCCACAGGGCAGGGAACCCTGACTGCCCTTCAGACTTGAGAGGGAGGGGGAGAGGAGTGGGGGAGGGGGAGAGGAGTGGGAGGTTGGGAGGAGGCGGAATTTTTTTTTCTCAATAAAAAAAAAGAAAAAAAATAAATTGTATATTCACTTAAAAAAAAGAAAAAAAGAAATGACGGAAATATAGTACTTATATGTGAAACTTTAGAAAAACAACAAAAATTTTAGTTTAAAATAGGCTGATGTTAAGAATGACTTATTTTTTATTTTTATTTTATGTGTATATATGTATGTACATGTGTTTATGTGTCTGTCGTGTGTGTTCAGGTTCTTGTGGGGCCAAAATTGTGTAAAGGATCCCCTAGAGCTAGCGTTACAAGAGTTTCCCAACACAGCTGCTGAGAATTTGGGTCCTGTGGGAGACCAGTAAGCACTCATGACAGACAAGTCATTTTCTAGCCCCCAGGCTCATATCTCATACTCTAGCTCTAGGAACACCGAGATGCACAAATATTCTAAAAATTACAATGAAAATGAAATCTTCATGTGTTTGTATTTTGTGTGCATGTTTGCGTGCGCTTGTGCACACACAGACACACACACACACACACACAGGCATGCATGCATTTGTATAGCACTCTCATGTGAAGGCCAGTTGATGTCATTCAATTGCTTTCTGCCTCATTTCCAGAGACACAGTCTCACTAAACCTGAAGATGGCTAGACTAACTGCAAGCAGATCCCAGGGATCCTCTCGTCTCTGCCTCTCTGGCATTGGAATTTTAAGCACACACTGCTGGGACTGAAGGATGGCTTATGTCCTCCAGCTTGTGTAACAAGCAGTTCACCAATGCAGACATCTTCCCAAGCACAAAATGGAATCTTGTTTTAATTCTTTGTTTTGTTTTGAACCAGGCTGGTCTGGAATTTTTGATCCTATCCTCTCAGTCTCTTAAATAGTGGGATGAAATATATGTGCAACACAACCTGGTCCAAAAGGCATCATTTGAGTCACTGGAAAAACAGTCCCTGATGTTTTCTCTTGCTTCAGCAAGACTTTTCCTAGCAATGCCGGGTATATAAACGTGTACTTCTATTGAAACTACATAAACATATACTTTAGGTTTGGGAGGTAGATCGAATAGTCACATGTTCTGCCCATTTTGTAACCCGATAGGTTTGTTTATTTATCTGCCTGTTCAAAACCTCCTTCAAAAATCATTACATGTATTCATTGTCCATGGTACTGTGTTACATAAGGGAATTTCCAGCATATATCTTTTGATAATCCCACATCTACCCTTCCTTTTTTACAATTATCCCCTCCCTCCCATTATTCCAATTTGTTCCCCTAGATCAGTGGTTCCTAACCTTCATAATATTGTGGTATTTTAATACAATCCTTCATGCTGTGATGATCCGTAACCATGAAATTATTTCATTGTTACTGTGTATCTGTAATTTTGCTACTGTTAGGAAAATATCGAATATGCAGGATATCTGATATGTGACCCTCCACATAGGGGTCCTGACCCACTGGTAGAGGATTAACCACTGCCTTAGATAGTTTCGCTTTTCCTTTCAGGACATACCATGTATGTGTGTGTGTCTATGATTTTATGAATCTATATAAAATCAGAATACCATAATAAACGAGAGAAAACATACCATATTTGTCTTTCTGACTTACTGATTTTGTATGCTCTGGTCTTGGTGCAATGACAGGCGGGGGCTCATTGTCATCTTCTTCCTCTTCTTCTTCTTCGTCCTCTTCTTCAGATACAGGGGGAGCCAAAGGAGGCTCAGAAGCTGTTTTTGTATTCTTAAAACGGAAAAAGGTTAAAGACAAGGAGTTAATTTTTCATTGTTTTTCTTTAGAAACATGAAGACAGATGAAATACTTAAATGTGTAGAGTTGGGATGGAATTATAGCTTTCACAAGTGAGCACAATGATCTACCATTTAGTACAATGGACCATTACGTCTATATTATTCTTTTCATTTTCCACCGATCTCAAAAATAGTAAACAATTCACTTAATATTTTAAAGCTTACTATTCTTAAAATCAATAACTACATTCAAAATCAAACTAGCTGACATTAATACTTTGGATATCTACTGAGCAGATTAAAAATTTCTTGAATGATAGTTTGTCATGCTTTAAAAGGCTACTTTCCCCAAACATACTAACCATGACCATTAGGGTAGGCATAACTCTGCTAATACTAAGAGCAAAGAAGCCAAGAAATGCTTCTTCCTTTCAAACCTCCTATAAAGCACCACTCTTTAATAGACACTAACATCCAGGGAACACACACATATCAATAATTGCTCAATATTAAGCAACAAACAAGATACTGGTGATTTGCAATGATGTACAAAATATGGTAATGAGAACTAATAATGTCAATCACCACAGTACCTACCGTTCCATTTGATCATTCATATTAACACTGTGGGAAAATGGCTGCAAACTTGAACTTTGAAAGAATTAAGGTCATGTTTCTCAAAGTGTAGTTACTAGTACTTCGGCAATAGCAGCAGCATCCAGAGGTTAGCTAAAAATGCAAGTTCTCAGAAAATTTCACCTAAGTCTATCAATCAGATACTCGGGCACTTGGAAATATGTATTATAATAAGACTTATAGGTAATACTGACGCAGGCTCACATAAACTATGGTGTAGGCTTGGTTATTATAGATGTCAGACACATTGATACTGAATACATAAAAACATAGCTAGTCTGAATTAAAGTGTGTTATAATAGTATAGTACATTCCAGATTTTATACACTCAAAATGAAAAATGTAAATTATTTTACTAATGTATTAGTTATTTTACATCAATGTATTAAATGATAGCATTTAAAGTTTTGTGTATGCTGTAAGATGTATGGGCATACGTACAAGTGTGCATGTCTCTGTGTGTGTGTGTGTGTGTGTGTGTGAGAGAGAGAGAGAGAGAGAGAGAGAGAGAGAGAGAGAGAGAGATTAGGCCAGAGGTCCAAGTTACGTGTCTTCTTCTATCTCTCTGTTATACAACCATTTCCTTAGAGATAAGCCTTCATCTTGGCAAGTTTTGATAAGGCATGAGATTTTCTGATGGGAGGCAAAATGTTCTTTCTGACTAGAAAACTCCTTAAGCTCAAGCAGTAAACAAATGTTTCAGGAAATTCCTGAGGCCAAGCAGATACATACACTAGGATCCTCCTTTCTCAAGTGTACACAAACAGTAAGAACTGTTGAGAGACACTCTCAGACAAGCTGTGCTGCCTAGAAGAAGCTGCGACCAGCTGAGCCACCTGGAAGAAGGCAGAGACTAGCCAAACTGTCTAGAAGCAACAAAGCCAGTAAAACCGCCTGAATAGGCACAGATAAACTGAGCCACATGGAACAGATACTTCACAATCTGTTGAGTTGCCTGCAGACTGTGCAGACTGTGCTCCGGGTTTAAAGCTTTCATGAGCTGTCACCCACGCAAGGGTGGGCTTTGGTGATGACATTGTTTTTGAACCATTTCTTCTCCTCTAAACACTTATATTCCTGTAAGTGACGCCAATAAAACTAATTGGTTTGTCAGTAGACTTTCTTGTATCCCTTCCTTGGTCTCTCATTGCCTCCTTATCTGGGGTGAGAAAGCATTTTTTTTCTTCTTAGAAAGAAAGTCACACAACACACTCTCTAGTTTATTGTTGAAACAGAGTCTCTTAACTGAACCCAGATGGAGCTTGTTAACTAGGCTATAGTGACTGACAAACGAGACCCCAGAACCTGCCTGCCTCTACCTCTCAGGACTATAGTAATATAATAGGCATGCACCACTGTTCCTGAAGTTTCCATGCGTGTTGTGGCTCAGAAGGTAACTCACTATTTTTAATGTTGAATGCTTTTTTTTGTAATGAACAATGTTAATTGGCAAAGTTTCATTGTACCATAGCCGTAGGTTTCATAAGGACATTTTCATAGAAATAGATGTTATTTTGAACATATTGCCTCCCCTTGAGACCCATCCCCCTTTTCTAGTTCCCTTTGCTCTGACAGACAGTTTCATTTTCTGTTCGTAGTAATTTCTACTTTTCACAACATCAGCATACATTCTTGCTAAATTTTCAGTTGATTATTTTGCTTCCACAGAGTAAGGAGGAACATGGTTGGAATTCTCCCCTTGGGTAACAACATTGGAAATACATCCCATTATAGAGAGAGGCTCATTTTATAGACAGCACATCTCATGTAAAGAATGGGCTTGCCACTTGGTTTTGCATAGTAACAAGAATGTCAGAAGACATGTCTGTCACCTCTAATCTACCAGAGTGTCATGTGCTTTGTTTAGCTCAGGCCATGCTATTCCTGTTTCATTGATTTTCTATCATTTTTGTTTTTGAAATGTTTTATTTATTCTCTGAAAATCTCACATATGTGTTGATCATATTTTCCCTTCCTCCAGTTCCTCCAAGCTCCCTATCCATTCAACTTCATGTTTTGGTCTCTTTTGAAAGACAAAAAAAAAAAAGAATCACAAAAGACCATGGATTGCAATTTGTATCGGCAATCCTGTGTCTAGAGCCTGACCTAGAGTGTGGCTGATTCAACCATGTCACTGCATTGAAGGATAGGGATTTTCCCTCTCCCAGTAGCTACTGCAAATAGCTTCTGTACTAGGCATGAGACTTTGTGTCTACTTCCCCTCCTTCATGCTCTTGTTTATCTGTCTTGTCTAAAATGTATTCCTAAGTTAATTTAGCCATTTATTTTTTATTTTAAAATGTAGCTATTAAAATATTGTATTTCTGTTGAACAATGATATTGTGGCTGGGTGGTTTTAAATTTCCATTTTGCTTTCTCTTTGTATAATTGGTTTTTTTTCTGTTTATGCCACTGGTTTTGATGCCCAAGTGTTCCTAAGGCGAATTTTTATTTCCTGAAGCCGGATCTCTTAAGGCACTCACAAGCACCTTATTAACAAAAACATTTCTCTGAAGGACTTAAATCTGTTTTGGAAATTCCATATGGAAAACTTTTAATCTTGTTAATATCTACAGTGGAGAAAAAAGTGTAATCGTTTATTGGATATCAGCCATCAAGAGTTACTTATTGTAAGAAGAACATTGGAGAATTTTTTCATAACTGTTTGAAAAAAACACTTGACTGCCCTGATAGAGACACATGCTGGGTGCTTTAAAGACTGAAACATGTTCACCTTATTTTATTTATGCATATATATATATTCCTTTAAATTTTAAATTTAATTTTATAAAAATTAACTTACAAAGTAATGGGTTTTCCTATGGCATTTTCATGTATCCTTCCCTTTGATTGGATCTCATCTGCTTCTTATCCTCCATCACCCTGCTTACCCCTGTTTTCACGGTAATCTTCCAACTCCAGTACGACCTCCTCACATGTTCATATCATATGTGTTCTATTTCTCCCTCCTGCTTCCTTCCTTAGTGCCCCATTTTCCATTTTATGGGCCTCTTTCAAGTTTCTTGGCCTCAGCCCATAATTACCACTACCTAAATATGTATATTCAATAATTAGAACCTGGGATCCACATATGAGAGAGAACATGTGGTTTTGTCTTTCTGAGCCTAGGTCACACTTACCATACCATTTTCTCTTTCCATTGTCCTGCAAATTTCACAGTTTTATTTTCTTTGCAGCTTAATATAATTCCATTTAAATACCAACCTTTCAAGGATTGATAGATACAGTGAGAAACTGCTGTTGGATTATTGATATTAGCCTTGATACTATATTACAGAAAGTTTTCCTCTGTTCATGCCTGATTATCAATAATGAAGCAAATCTTCGAGCTGGGTAGATTATCCAGTTGTAAAGTGCTTGCCATATAAGCACAGGGAAATTGTTTTAACCCATAGCATCCACATCAAGATTGGGGCATGATGGCTTACACTTGGAATCCCAGCACTAGGAAGACAGAGGCTTGTGGATCTCTTCAGCTCACTAGATACGCAGCCTAGCCTAATCTTCAAGCCCTAGGTTTCAATGAGAGTGAGACCTTGTCTCAAAAAGCAAGGTGTATAGCTTCTAAGAAATACGTCTAAGGCTATATCATGACTCTCACATGTGCACACACGTGTGTACTAGTATGCTCATATACAATAGAAAATTATTCAGCTAAAAATGAAAATATGAAATTCACAGGTAAATGGATGGAACTAGAAAAAAGTAAGTAGAGAGTAAGTGACGAGAGAGGAGGGAAGGAGCTCCATATGGAAAGGAAATAGAACATATAGTTATGGACTGTGTGTGTGTGTGTGTGAGAGAGAGAGAGAGAGAGAGAGAGAGAGAGAGAGAGAGAGAGAGAGACAGAGAGACAGAGAGACAGAGACAGAAGGGGGGGAGAAGAGAGAATAATGGTAGGATCAAACGGTGGGGGGGTAGGTTTACCGGAAGGGGTAGCTGAAACTACTGGTCATTTGAAGGATTGTATGGAAACCTAATAGTAGAAGCTTCCTAAAATATATACATATATAAAGATGATCTAAATGGCTAAATAGAATTGCCAAATAAAATGGGGGGATGGAACCCCAATGGGACATCGCTTGACATCAAATGAAACCTCCAGTTCTGGGAATGGGTTAGAACTAATAGAGCTGTTGGCCAAAGTGGTCCCATGGAAAGCCCCCTAAGAACCCAGACTACTGCCAAGGCTATCATTTGCTCTCCACAAACTAATGGTAAAGCTGAAAACAACAAAGTCATGATAATACCTACCTAGAACCTTCACCCCTGCTGACTAGCGGTCATGGTACTAGAAAGTCCTTTGTATACTACCAAAGGAGATAGGGAAACACC